TATATATATATATATATATATATCGTTTACGCAGACATCTCAGTACATATATCCCTTCAACCGCAGTATGTGGAGAGTCGCATGGTGTTCATAGCCCCCAACCTCACCGCTGTGTGCGGGTCAGCCACGGCTGCTCGACTGATGGGTCTGGCGGGCGGGTTAAAAGGACTGGCTCAGATGCCTGCATGCAACGTCGAGGTGTTGGGCGCGTCCAAGAAGAATCTGTCAGGCTTCAGTACTGCGCATATGCTGCCGCACACCGGCTTTGTATACTACTGTGGTATGGCTGTGGTACTAAAAATAGGTCATATGTATGTAATTCTAATAATAGGTCAGCGGACGTGGGAGGTGCATGGTACTCTCGAAAATCGGGTCCAAGTCAGAGTACACATTGTATTGTACGCGCGTGTGAAGTGTTCTATTGTGGTTTGTTGTGTGCGTGTTTATGGTCACGCATATTAGCCGGAGGGATGTTTGAGAATTAGATCTCTTCGGTTATTATCACAAGACCGTATGCTTACGCTGTACTGGCGTCTCGCATGCCACGGGAATACAACAGTGGCTGGGTTGGACTATAGTGCAATGCAAGATAGGGACTATAAACGTGTACGTTTATAGGACGACATGAGCACTTTGAACCTTAGCACACTGATTGCAGCATAGACGGGTTCGGTGAGTCTGTAGTGTACGATATCACAATCATACGTATGTAGCCAATCACACCCCTCCCACGGTCATTACATCTACCGCTAGACCACACACTCGATTGTGAGCACATACAGAAGCCGCAGTGAGATGTGTCTCGGGGGTGGTCCGGTGTAGTAACTTTAAGGCACGCATGGGATAGGTCTATCTTTCCCCATTGGCCTGTGATATAGGTGCTACTATGCTACTATGCTACTAAGCTACTATGCTACTATGCTACTATGCTACTATGCTACTATGCTACTATGCTACCATGCTACTATGCTAATATGCTACTATGCTACTATGCTACTATGCTACTAAGCTACTATGCTACTAAGCTACTATGCTACTATGCTACTATGCTACTATGCTACTAAGCTACTAAGCTACTATGCTACTAAGCTACTATGCTACTATGCTACCATGCCACTATGCTACTATGTTACTATGCTACTATGCTACTATGCTACTAAG